CCCCCCCCCCCCCACAACTGCTTTTTTGTTGCTGCTTGAAGTAATTTATTCACGCGCACCCCACCTTCATGCCTTGATTTTTCAAAAAAGAAATACGCTCATGGTACTCGAGTAAATAAAGCAGCACATTATTGAAATATATGAGTCTGAAGAAAATTTCAAATAGGGTAAACATTATCCATTTTTTTTTTAATTGTCACTCGTGAGTCATTCACGACTTCGTACCCGAAACCCGACTATAAGACGCGCAGCTTGCTTTTTGCTCCTCAACTGTCTACAATACAGGTATATACGCGGGGTACTCGTGCTCCCAAATACCGTACTGTGCAGCACTGTACATGCACTACTTGCCTCCTCCGTTCTTGTAGCACAAGTAGGGGAATCGCCAGACGTTGCCCAGGCCCACCGAGTATCCCAGCAGGGACAAGAGGAAGTCGAACTTGCCGGTCCACGTTCCGCGTTCCGGCTCGTCGTCCGAGGCCTGGTCATACGTCACCACGAACGGCACTTGCGACGTGGCCACCGAACATTCCTGAATAAGGCATCCACAAACGATTGAACCACAACAACAACAACAACATTCAAAACACACCAAACAATTGTAATGGGATTTGGGAGTGAAAGTCTTTACACCACTCGGGTAAAGAAAGGAGGAATGCGGGCTATACGTGTGCTGGGGGGAAGGAGGCAATACAAGTATTAGCTCCAGCGAGCGCAGCGCTTCACCCTTCTTTACAACAATAATAAACCATTATTGGAGCGAAGTGAACGTTGAGCAACCATAAAACAATCAAAGTAAAATACTCGACAGCTGCAATTGGAAATGTAAGCAGTTCGGTGGTTACGTATATATACTGTATATTCATCACTTTCCGGAGAAACATTCAGGGAATAAAAACACACTCAACACGCGAGAAGTCGTTGAGGTTTACATTTCGAAAATAAAATCGTTGAAGTAAGCTTCAATATCCGAACGTGAGCCTTTGGAACAAAATTGACGTGATTCCGGTTTTCTTGAGAATAGAGAAACCGTCGTCACACCGAAAAGAAAGGTAAAAGAGAGGGGATTTGAACACAAACCGTTTGCGAATAATTAAAAAAACTGAAACACATAATGTAGTCTCTGGGGAAGAAACTGATACATTTCATGAGAAATACGTGTACAGTACAAGTGTACCAAATTTCGCTTCCTTGACGATCCTGATACGAGTTCATATACTGTACTACTCACATTTCCCTGAAAATTCAAAAAAACCCTCGAAGAAATTCTACTCACATTTAATAACTTTCTAGAAGATTCCGGAGAATGAGAGAGATTTTCAATGAAGAGCCGAATGTCTCATCCTGAGAAAAATATTTTATGCGAACAAATACGTGTCTTCGAATGAACTTCTTATGCTTCCTATGGCCTCAATAAGTTCCTATATTCAATAAAATCAAGTGAAAGCTCCCTTAATGGGTCTCTGAAAAGTCATTTCATTCTATATTTTCGACTCAATCTCAAAACTGGTCAATTTCTTAATATTCTGCCACTCGAAGGAAGTAGTTTACAATGAGAACCTGAGAGATGCTTCAAAATTGAACTTGCACTCAATTTCGAGAAAAATACGACGGTGTTTAGTTCATTCAGCAGTTCAATCACAGTTTGGAACGTTTTTCCCGAGGTTTAAAATTGGAGCGACACCTGCCTCACATCGGAGAAAGTACGGGCGTGTGTTGGACAGAAACGAGCTTGCTTCTACTGCAGCACTATACTGTACGGTACATTTTTACTGTAACTTGTTCTCATCTGAGAAATCATGTCCAGGTTCTGATCTCAAGGAAAGGAAGCGATAAGAATGCATACGGCATTTTTATTCATTTCATTTTTTTTTGCCATCAGCAGACAATTGAAGTCAATATAAGACGTGGTGGAATACGCGGAACTATATGGAAGATGATTTCGTGTGTTCTTGGATATTATACGACGGCGGACGAGAGGAGAAATGAAAGAAGTAAGAGGGGTTATTACCCAGCAAATGAGCATAAGGAATGCGTGTACTGTACAGTAGAAACAAAAACACACTCACGTCCCAAGGGCGTTCGTTGCCATTCCTCAGGAGGCCGCGAGCGTCGAACATGGTGGAGCCGAGCGACGTGGAGCTGTCGTCGCGTCGGATGGCGGCGGCCGACGACTCCACGTCGAGGTACTGTTGCCCCTTCGTCATGCTGATGTCCTCTTATTCAAGGCCGTCACTCGCCTTGTCAAAAACCCAGCCACCAGCAAGAGAGCCGAGATCCCTTGCTTCAGTCTACTTTCTTCTCTTCTCTTCTCTTTCTTTGTTTGTTTCTTTACACCACACTGCTATGAATAATATGAAGCTCACTCCACTGCGAGGGCGAAAAATACACCAAGAAGGAGATGTATATACTGTAGATCTTTTATCTCCGCCAACCTGCAAAGGTTCTCCATATAAGAAGCATCACACAACAGCGACAAAACGTAACATCAAGTAAACTGATGCGGTGGAATTGCAGGAGTCGATTTTGTTTTATTTTTGAAAATTTTTCCAAGTTTCGTTTTTAAACTGCTGGCCGTTTCAGAAGTTACGCAGGAATATATCGTTATGACAAAATTCTTGGGAGTTCAGAAAACGTTTATAATGGTGCTGAATGAAGTACTGTACTGTACTTGACAATAATGAAATTTTGAAAATTAATGATTGGAAACAATATTCACATCAGGCATGCTTATATAATCAATTACATTTTGATTTTCTGGCATTCTCATATTTTTTTTAATTTATGTTCGAAAAACCAAGCGTTCTTCCACAAGAAATTGGCTCCAATCATTCATTCCATTGGTTGCATCAATGTTTGTCACTGACTGCAGCTTCCATATTTTATGATATAATAAAGAAACAGTCAGTGCAAGTGGTATTTTCTCAAGTACCACTCGCACTTTTGTTCCAGAATTTGATGCAGAAAATAGGATGTGCTTTGTACCTGGGGATACAATTTCTAAGGAAAACTTTTTGAAAACCCTGCACATCATATGCAGGTACAGTACAGTACATGTAAATAAAGAGAATCCAAGAGGAAATGTGTGGCACCAAGTCTTGTTGTTCAGGGGAAATAATGGCTGAAGAGATGGCAATTCTAGGAATCAGTTGAAAGTTGCAGCAGGAAGTAAAGATATTCCTATTATTCAGGGAGCTGCAGACAGTAAAAAGCAGGAAAAACAAGATGTCAACAGGGGAAAGTGGATTGACGCGAAAAACTAAAAATGCTTAAATCTCAGCAAAAAAACAAGAAACAAAAAACTGGGATGTGCGTCTTACGTGGGCGGATAGGTTTTCGGCCAATTTTCTTGCAAAAAAACAGGGGTGAGCAGCTTACTCAGGGGTGCATGGTACAGTACTAGAGTAAATACGGTATTTGAGAACCAAAATTTCAGATTGTGACTGTCTTAGTCAGAAAAGGTTTACCTGGAGAATCTGTTCAAAATTCCACAAAAAAGTTGGTGACATTGGAATTGGGAAGTTTGCTCTAATGAGATTTATGCAAAATGTACTCCATTTATGGGCTTTCCGCCAGGACATCGGAAAAAGAATTTTACAATTCAAATTTTTTGTAATATTGGTATTTGTTGTAAAAAAAAAGGTATTGTAATATGCAATATCCTCAGCAATTGACTTATATCAGTCCACTGCTGTGCTACTCTCATGAATTTTCACATCCATTTCACATTTTTCATGTGACAAATTTTTATTCTTGATTTCTGTAAACGTTTGCCCAACAGAGGAAAACAATTACGATTTCTTTAGTGGCAGGCAAACTACTGCCAGATGAAGAGAACTTAGATGAAAAACAAAAGCACCTCGAGAAAATACCTTTTCCACTTGATTTCTGTAAACGTTTGCCCAACAGAGGAAAACAATTACGATTTCTTTAGTGGCAGGCAAACTACTGCCAGATGAAGAGAACTTAGATGAAAAACAAAAGCACCTCGAGAAAATACCTTTTCTGAAACTCATAATACATGACATGCCTATGATCCTGATGCAGGGTGGTATTTTTTTCTTAAATCATCCATCTTCTATTAAACGGCAATTGAGATACTAACGCTAAAAAATGTTGCCAGTGCCAACTTGATTGTACAGTATTCTCGGAATTGAATAAAACTTTAATTTTCTATGAATTCTCATCCATCCGAATCCCTATATGGCCTTCAATCAGAGACTCGATCTCGATCGCAGTCGTTCGGTTCGCAGCACAGGATGGATACCACACTGCACAGTATGTCTCGCTGACGTTAGACGGCAAACGCCGATTCGAGGGAAGTTTTCGCAAAACCCGAGGTTGAAGGACGTTTCAAAAGTGTAACCCGGTTAGCCGGTGACAAGCCGAGACTCGCTCGTCGTTCATGAAATATTCAACAAAGTTTTTCTCCTAGCCGAAAGCACCATGCAGTTCTTGCGGCGGTGGGTGAGTGGCGGGGAATCTCGGGATTTCATCAGCGCAAAAACTTTCCAGCAATCCTAAAGCGGACCTCCTTCTTTCCCATCGCATCCGCTCACTGATGCATGTTGGGAACCCGAAAGTTTGTCCATGTATACTTCAT